TCCTCCAGCTTCATCTTAGTGACTGAGCCAAAGACCTGGACGGAGGCTCAGAGATACTGCCGAGAGCACTACACTGACCTGGCCAGTGTGAGGAACCAATCAGAGAACGACCAGATCAAGGGGCTTTTGAAGAACAGGTACACCTGGATCGGCCTCCACAGAGACTCATGGGGGTGGTCTGATGGGAGACCCTATTCCCTCAGGAAATGGGCCACTGGTAGACCAAAAAGTGGCTTCTGGACTTCCTGTACTGTTTTACATAAAGGTCTATGGGAAGACATGAACTGTGACGCTGAACATTACTTTGTGTGCCAAGGTGGTGAGTTTAAAAACACACATGACTTCTCCTGAGTAGGACACGCCACTTTTGGTCCAGGTTTGAAATGTTTTCTCCTCTCACAGACCCGGTAAGAAACGTGTGCTGAGGGTGCAAGTGACTCGCAAAGACTCGACTTGAACCTGGAGGAAGCAGCTGCAGCCCTCCTGTGGCAGGTAGGAGAGAGATCGACCCATCCATTATTTACGGGGGGGGAGGAGCCAATCCCAGCTGTCATTGAAAGAGAGAGGCGGGGTTACACCCTGGACTGTTCACCAGCTAATCACCACTTTCTTGGTTTTTTTTGTTGTTTGTTGTTTTCTCTTTTAAAAGTCTTTGAGGATTCAGTGCTACACATGTCCAATGTTTTATTATTATTATTATTTATTATTATTATTAAGATAACCTAAAAGAGAAGAAGACGCCTCCATCGTTTACTGAACACATCTGTCTTGTGTCTTGCCCCCCCCCCCTCTCAGTTCAGAGAGAGGCTGAAGGAGCACGGCCTGAGAGAAGACGTGAAGCTGACATGGAGGAAGCAGCCGGATGGAAAGATCTTCAACCTGGAAAAAAGAGAGAAGAAGTGAAGAGGAGGAGGAGGAGGAGGAGCAGTTCATCTGTTTCATGAATCGACTGCTGTGTTTTGTTGCTTTAGTTCGGGCTTGAGATACCCAGTATGTAGTTTTCGTACTTTTAGGGGGAGGTGCTGGAGCAACGGCTGTTATTCTTTGATTACTTTGAGGGGGGGGGGGGGGGGGGGGGGGGGGGGGCTGGGGTGATACTCTAAACTTGTGTGGTGAACTTATATGTTTTCTGCCTCCATTTTGAACTTTGGTGAAAAGGCGATAACAACACGTGTAGAAGTAGAAACTTTAATGTTTATATCGCAAACGGAGCACTGAGGGAATGCTACTTTTTAAAATCATGCTAGTTTATTAAAATAAGCGACCTGCCTTTCAGTAAACGTTTATCGAATCTTTGTTAATTCTGCAGAGTCTGCATTCTCTAAGTGTTTTTGTCATTTTGGTGAAATGTTTTTATTTGTGATCATAAAAGGAACCAGGGAGAGAAAATGCTCCAAACAGGAAATGAGGATCCCTTCTATCTACACATGCAGAATCCTGTACTGGATGAATCCCGTCCCAGAAACCTCTCTGTCTACAACATGCTCACATCGCAGTTCTCAAGTGTGTACCCCTAAACCCAGAGACCTGAGACCTGAGACCTGAAACCAGAGACCTGAGACCTGAGACTTGAGACCTGAAACCAGAGACCTGAGACCTGAGACATTAGACCTTAGACCAGAGACCTGAGACCTAAGGCCAGAGACTGAGACCTGAGACCTGAGACATGAGACCAGAGACCAGAGACCTGAGACCAGATACCTGAGACCAGAAACCAAGATCTGAGACTGAGACCTGAGACCTGAGACCTGAGACATGAGACCAGAGACCTTAGGCCTGAGACCAGATACTTGAGATCTGAGACCTTAGACCTGAGATGAGAGACCAGAGACCAGAGACCAGAGACCTGAGACCTGAGACCTGAGACCTGAGACCAGAGACCAGAGACCTGAGACCTGAGACCTGAGACCTGAAAACAGAGACCAGAGACCTGAGACCTTAGACCTGAGACCAGAGACCAGAGACCTGAGACCAGAGACCAGAGACCTGAGACCAGAGACCAGAGACCTGAGACCTGAGACCTGAGACCTGAAATCAGAGACATGAGACCAGAGACCAGAGATCTGAGACCAGAGACCTGAGATCTGAAAACAGAGACCTGAGACCAGAGACCAGAGACCTGAGACCTGAGACCAGAGACATTAGACCTTAGACCTGAGACCTGAGACCTGAGACCAGAGACCAGAGACCAGAGACCAGAGACCAGAGACCTGAAACAGAGACCAGAGACGTGAGACGTGAGACCTGAAAACAGAGACCTGAGACCAGAGACCAGAGACTAGAGACCAGAGACTAGAGACCAGAGACCAGATACATTAGACCTGAGACCAGAGACCTGAGACCTTAGACCTGAGACCTGAGACCTGAGACCTGACCTGAAAACAGAGACCAGAGACCTGAGACCTGAAAACAGAGACCTGAGACCAGAGACCAGAGACAGAAACCAGATACATTAGACCTGAGACCTGAGACCTGAAAACAGAGACCTGAGACCAGAGACCAGAGACCTGAGACATTAGACCTGAGACCTGAGACCAGAGACCTGAGACCTGAGACCTGAGACCTTAGACCTGAGACCAGAGACCTGAACCCTTACGGACTTACAATCGACGTCACCTGGAAAGTGAGTGCAGGAGGTTGTGAGGGCTTGAAATGGTTAAATAGGAAGGGGACATCACTTTGTGGTTTCTCTATAACCATGACAATACGACGTCATGTGACATTAGGTATTTTTTATTTGACAAGTTTTACTCACAGCTTATAAAAAGTTCTTAATGTTCTCTGCGCTGTGGGATGAATAAAGGTTTCTCTGATCTGCCTCTCTCTCTTTTCCTTCACAGACTCGCTGTAGAGTTCTGAATTATTCGCCAAATAAACTTATTTGGTAGACTTTAAATAGAGCGTGGTTTCTCCTTCCTGCTTTTTCACCGTCTCTCCCTTTTTCCGTGTTATGGCGTTTGTTTACCTTGCCATTCTTGCGGGCTTCCCCGGGGGAATCTTATGTTTCACGTCTCAATGCTATGAACTCTGGGTAATTCCTTCACGCTGAAGTCTGCAGATATGCCCACTGACGGACAGCGTGCACCCTGCTGATGATCTTCAGTTCCAGTGGAAGCCGGCTCAACGTGTTCCATTTAAAGAGTTTTTTTATGAAGAGAGTTTCATGAACACTTTTATTCTGAACACTTCTCAGCTAAACGAGACTAGAGAAAAGAAGAATAACATACTGTACTCACTGCTTAACTGTGTTTCTAGATCACGCTCATTTCAGGTAAATTTACATGCAGTGTGAAGATACGAGCATAATAAAGATTGCTAGCATTAGCATGCTAACACAACATAGCAGCGCAAGTTGTTTTGGTTTCATGCTGGTGCTCAAGGGCGACATCTGCTGGATCAAAAAAATCGCATATAAAGCCTTTAAAATGAAGTAAGTTTTTGTGTTGCTGCAGTCTGAATCACTCACTGAAGACGTGTTGTTATGGCCTCTTTCACCAAAGTGAATGAAACCAAAGCTCAAAACATGGAGGCCGAAACATATAAGGACGCCACACAAGTTTAGAGTATCACCCCGAGCTTTATTCAATTTAAACATGCTCCCCACCCACACCCAAAAGTCATCAAGAATAACTAAAAGCCAAAGCGAACAAAAGACAGGAAGGCACCTTGCAGTGAGCCGTCACTCCAGCACCTCCCCCTAAAAGTACAAAAACTACATACTGGGTATCTCAAGCCCGAACTAAAGCAACAAAACACAGCAGTCGATTCAGGACAGATTAACTGCTCCTCCTCCTCCTCCTTCTTCTTCTTCTCTCTTTTTTCCAGGTTGAAGATCTTTCCATCCGGCTGCTTCCTCCATGTCAGCTTCACGTCTTCTCTCAGGCCGTGCTCCTTCAGCCTCTCTCTGAACTGAGAGAGAGAGGGAGGAGGGGGGAGAGGAAGAGAGAGAGAGAGAGAGGGGGGGGAGAGAGAGAGAGAGAGAGGGGGAGAGAGAGAGAGAGAGAGAGGGGGGGAGAGAGAGCTCTTATTCCCACATTGTGAATAACTCTTATCCTTCATCAAATCAAAACTGATGAGTCATCAAACATTCACCCCTCGTACAATGTGTGTCGATCGAGACATGAGCTAATAACACCTATTTGTTTTTTTGAACCAGGCTGTAAACATGTTAATCTCTGCTGTAAAAACAGGCTTTTTAGAATGGGTGTGTATGTGACTTCCTGTGCTTCTGCAGCCAGCCTCTAGTGGACACTCCAGGAACTGCAGGATTTTACACTTTGTTAACTCTTCAACACTGGAGGTTGTCCTTGATTGATTTGTACATAAATACATGCTCTTCGATGGGCTTACATTTCTAACTTGAATATATGTTTAAATCATCTTAATGCACAAAAAGACTTCTGTTACCTGTAGCAAGACGGCATCTGCGGCCTCCTCCAGGTTCACAGTCGAGTCTTTTAGGGTCACTTTCACCCTCAGCACCCGCTGCGGCTTCACCGGCTCTGTGAGAGGAGGAAAGCTGCTTTTTAAACTGGATCACATGTGGATCTGTGCAGGGAGGTACTTTATTAAAAACATGTGGAATCTCACCAAAATGACACAAAAAGAAGTGTTTTTTTTCACATCTATAGCGATGCCAAAGCCCTTTGTGTAGACGCACACAGGGAGGAACCACACGGTCAATCTGTTTCTTAATGTTCCAACTCGTAAAGGAATAGGGGCTCCCATCAGACCACTTCCACGAGTCTCTGTTGAGGCCGATCCAGGTGTAACTGTTCTTCAAAAGCCCCTTGATCTGGTCGTTCTCTGATTGGTTCCTCACACTGGCCAGGTCAGTGTAGCGCTCTCGGCAGTATCTCTGAGCCTCCGTCCAGGTCTTTGACTCATTCACTAAGATGAAGCTGGAGGAGGAGTCTGTTTCAGCACAAATGAACAGTGTGAGTGGAGGAACATGAAGTATATGAACTATTAAACATCTGTCACACATTAATGCTTATTTTGAGTCATTTTAGTCAGATGCAGCCGTAACACTCCCTGAGGCTGGAGCCCACCTCTTCCCCCTCTAGCCAGCGCCAAGAAAGTGTACGATGGCCTGATGTTAGTGTACCCTGAGGATGCCACTCCTGCGTGTCACCACCTTTACCCCAACCCCCCCCAAACTACCCATTACTGCACACTTAGTCTGTAGTTAACACACATGGCAAAATGATGATAAATATATTCATATTTACCCTTAAAGCATGTAAACCATCTCTTTGTATCACAAGGAGCATCATTCCATAGGCCGCTGATATGCATCATTGCACAGTGTTCGATTCCCCTCAAGTTATTGGGTTCCAAGCCACCCCACTTCCTGAACTCGGCTTCTCCTTCTCCATAGTATCCCTCCTCCTCCAGGGACCACCTCCAGCTGTCGATGTCATCGTACAGTCCGATCCACAGATGACCCTCATCATGTTCCTCTGTAGCTTCCCGCAGCTGCTCTGACTCCTGCTCGCTGCTCACAGAGGCCAGGTCTATGAACTTCTCTCTGCAGTATCTCTGAGCTTCAGTCCAGTTTAATGCCTCTCTAACGAGGATGTAGCGACGAGGGAAACAGACAGGAAGGAAATACAGACCTGTCATGAAAGAAAGGAGATCCCTCTCTTTACTTGATGATTTAACATTTAGTTTAGTTTCGCACGATGACTTTAAAACTCTTTATTTTAAACTGAAGATGACATGCCACTAACCTGATAAGAAAAGAAAAGTCAAAGTTCTCCCCTCCATGTGCTGCTTCCTTTTTCTATCTTCCAGCTGTGAGAGAAATAAAAAAAAACATGACTGACTTTGCTTTGTGTTCACACTCAGCCAACAGTGACTCTAGATGGCGCTGTTTCTGATGTGACTTACAGGACTAATAATAGTTACTTTTTCATAAAAGTAATCGTTACGGGAAGAAAAGCTGCAAGAAAAGAAATCCTGGAAGCGTCTACAGTTTCTGCTTCTCTTCCTCTGAGCAGCTCTCTGCACATGAGCAGAAGGTCGGCCTTCACATGTGTCAGCGTGCATGCGTAGCGAGCTAATTCAACAAGTAAGACGGTGGAGAGGGCAGCTTTTACTTTGTGGAAATATTCCCAATATTTTGACTTTTGTTAAATGTCATATTGCTTCTGTCGTTCCTGTTACTGGCCTGCAGAGTCACAGATGATGGACTATAAAGCCCTGAGCATACTCGCTTTTAACTTGGCATGACATCAGCCTTGCGTATCCTGCGGCGGTGTCGAGCGTTGGTTGTGTACTTCCTCAGAAATGAATGCTATGCGTCCCTGAGATGCAGTATGCATTTATCCATTAGGAGCAGTGTAGACTTGTGATGAGACCAGAAATTACGACATCGGAGACACCAGAGAGCCGCTACAGGAAGGGTGGAAAGTTTAGAAGAAAAGTGAACAGATCGAGTCCTAACCCTAACCCCAACTACCCGCACTATGAAGTGTCATTGCTGTTGCATAGCAACAAGCATGCATGCCAGATCATCTCTATTTTGGGGTTTTAACCGTATGATTTATGTGCTGCTCCCTCTAGAGGAATCCTCCAGTAACACACTTTGTACAAAGGCAAGGACGTCAACATTTACGTTCAGGACGCCGCCGGTTGTCTACACATACACTTGGTTCAAAAGCGACTTTATTTGAGCCCTAAGAGAGGCCGTGCAATGACAGTAGAGTCAATTCATTCAAAGACAGACAATCAGTCGGCTACCTGCCGTCTGGAGAATTTAACCGGCGTGGGTTAAGAGCCACAAACAGGCGTTAATGTTTGTTAACACGAGAGGCGTTACAGTTCTCAGTGGGTAACTTAACGAGTCACTGTTTCAAGTAATCTAACCCAACCCTGGAGATGACACACACACACAGACTCAACCATTCCATACAAATTCTGATTAAATCTATCTGCACTTATATTTGAGTTCTCCTTCACGAGGAACTTTTGATCTAGAACAAACAGCCAGCAGCTTTCTCTGTTGTTAACATCTCAGTCTTCATGTGTTTCCAGAGGCTGAACTTCCTTTAAAGAGCAAATTTATACGAGCTCAGTCAAATATAATCCATGTTTAATATCTTGTTTTAGAGAAGTGATGTCTTACCTGCGATGTGAGAGTGACCAGAGATGAAGACGGAGCTGTGAAATACTCGCTGTTCGGTTCACTGCCGTTTTAAATGAACCACCGAGCCACGGAGCGGTTTGTTTTCATGCTCCCCTGATTTAATCCCCACTTTACAATCCATGCAAAGACACAAACAAACTATTTATTTGCATGACGTCTGAGTGAGGCTGACTGCTCAGGGCAAAGTTTAAGTGTGCAAATTGCATTGATTGTCAATAAATGATTTCTAACTAGAGGACCCCTGATGGCTAAATTGTCAGGGACCAAGCCTGAAACATCAATTTTCACCTTGGCATGTATTTACAGAGTTTCAAACCCCTTATCTGGTTAGAAACAATCTCTGGAGGTTTCAGGGACCAACCACGTCCCTGATGGCTGCTGATTCAGGTGATGTGCCTAATCCCCCTGGATGTGAGGTCTGCCTGAAGTGACTGAACACCTATTTGACTGTCAAAGTGATCATCTGTGATTATTTGTTATCCCCTCACCCTTCTGTTTTAGGCATCCCCCAGAGCTCAATATTGAGTCTCCTCTTATTAAACATTCTCCCTCTGTATGAAATCAAAGGAAACCTAAAACATTAATTTCAATATCAAGTTATTTTTGGGTCCGTTTTTGCCCAACACGACAGAAAATGTTTTGAGGAGAGAAAGTGAGGAATGACATGAAGCATAAGGACCGAGGATTGAAATCCATGGCTGCTGCAATGCAGACTATAACCTCTGTACACTGAGCTAAATCTTATTAAATTTGACTTTAATACAATGCAGATGACATCCAACGTTACCTTCTGATCAAAACTGATAATAAGACAAGCCAAAAAACATGACATTAATTGGTTTAACTTCTAAGACATTATTCCTCGGGTGTCTGTTAGCTTCCTCCAGCTGTATGACTCTTTGGTCTGCAGGCTTCAAATTTAAAACCCACTGACAGAAATCTGTGTGTAATATTTCAGACATCTATGCTACAATGTGTAGTCTTATTCGATCGTATCAAGAACAAAATCTCTTCCCCGGATATTTTGCATCATTTAGAAAAGGTTGTTTCTCTGTGAATCATATAATGTCTTGTTGTTTTGTTACTCCTGTGTCTTCAGAATCAAATCATTTGAATAACATAAGTTCCTGTCTGGTCCTTTATGTCCAAAACATGATGCCAAAGACCACCAGGCACACTGAGTCATAGATTTTAACAGGTAAGAGATGACTAAGGAGTGCCCCAGCTGAGGAGAATAATGTCTTTTCCAGCATGGAGACCGCCATTGACGGGACTCCAAAAGCCCCCTGCGAAACAGACGGGTCACATCACTCAGGCGTCCTTCATTCATATTTACAGTCTGTGGTCCAAACGCAACTTAAAATGACAAATGATGAAAAACGTGTCCGACAACACTACAAATCATGGATGATTCACAAGTTTCTGCAGAGGTAAACACTAAAATTTGCTGCCATATTCTGAAAAGTAAAGGCTGTTTGCAAATGAAGGTTTTGCAAATCATCCAAATCAGAGGAAACCTTTACATATGCAAATGATGAAGAAGCTGAAGGCAAGAAACAGTGATACTCTGACGTTCAATCTCTACAAATCCAACTCACTTAAAGTGACTCATCAAGCATGATGTTTGTTAGAGGTAGACCAAAAGCGGAGCAAAGTGGAGAGAACCGGAAGTGAAGATCCAGAATCCAGGACGCGGTTTATAGAATGAGAATCATAATGACAACCATTAAAGAAGAAGCAATAATGAATGTGAATGATTGCTACAGGTTTTTGAAAGTTCCTGATGCACAACTACAGATTAAAAAGGCTCTTGGCATGGATTCCTGCTTTGTCTGGAATGTCACTGAAGTCATTGTCCTCACAAAGTAGACAGGAGGAAATTTACAGATTTAGGATTGTTATGTAAATGTTGCGTACCAGCTCACAGAGGGAAAAAAGCAATGAAATGGGCTGATTCGTTAGTAAAACAGGAGGATGTAATGGACTCTCATTCAGTAAAAGTGAAGCTAAAAGATTAATTATGTCATTTTAAGTTCTTTATATTTTCATTTTTTTTTTATTTAATCATGGTGTAGTAACTCTCTTCTACACTCAAACATAGCAG